CTTAGATATGTACTGAGCAAGGTCATATGTTCCAGGCTGATTAAAGCAGTTGTGTCAGGATGCTAGAGACTGGGTGTTCCCAAAACAACAATGCAGTTTGCCTACAACATTATTTATTTCTTTTTGTCAGTGGAAGGGCTGTTCTTTGTCTGTTGGGAATAAGGCTGAAAGAGCATTGCAGCACAGCTAGTACAGCTGACCAAGCTTTTCCCTGGTTCTCGAAGGAAAGTGAAAGGGGAAAAAAATAGACCAATTTGGATTGTGTCATGAAAATGGCCTCCTACCTAACCTTTCGCCAGCAAAGCTTGGCCCAAATAGACAAGGCGGCAGCCAGCATTCTGGGAGTTTCTTGGTATAGTCTGTGTTGGGGCAATTTTTTAAAATTTCTCTTATAATATGTCAGATAAACAGTGAATCATTCCTTGATTCATCTGTGACTTTGTTTTCAGTTATGAAAAAAAAACCCCACTATAAATTGTGCATGCCCAGTAGGTCAGGTCAGAAGATAGATATCTTTGTATTTCTTTCTGAAAAACACTTTGATCCATTTTTTTCTTTTTCCTCTTTGAAGGTGTTCTGACAGCACCTGTATCTTTGGTTCTAAAAGGTTGCCCTCAGAGCGATCTGAATGAACCAGGATCTCTGTAACATAACAAACATTGGAGAACTTAGTGGAAGCATTGCTTACATTGTCTCATTATTCCTTCAGTGTATATCTTTTGGGAAATTGTTAAGCTGGCATTATTCCCTGAATCTGCTATAGTTCACATGTGGAAAAAGCTTTTCCACATGCTGCTTTGCAGTATTGGGACATTGTTGTATATGTGGCAAAACATTTTTGAACTTTGAACTTCAAAAGAAAATTTTTTGGAACTTTTTAAATGATATGGCTGGCAATGGAGGGGAGGAACAGGATGGAGGAGGATGAGGAAGTCATAAATGGTCTTTCTGTAACATTCAGGATTTCAGTGGTGTTCAGTAACTCCATACTATTGGCATGCTTACTTGTGCTAGGCAGCAGTAATTAATATTTCAATTGATTTTTACGGCAGCCTGATCCAGTACTGGCACTCAATGCAGGCCATATTCAGAAAAAATAGATATAAGTAGCGTGAAGGTAAATCACATTAGTACTTACATGACCATGATGAAATGGGAAATTCTCTGTCTTAAGATACCAAACTCCAGCTTGCTTGCTGTCCTCTGAGGCATGAAAGTCACATATACAGGTACGGATTGCTCTGCCAGCTCGCTCCCAGCCTGCATGTGACGGTGAGCTGACAGGCAGAAGTGGTCCAGCTGAAGGGACCAGCTCTGCTCATCCTCACACCCAAGGGCTGAACACACGGGCTGCAGCAACGCAGGAGGTGGGCGGTGTAATTGCAGTAGTGCAGTGCTTCACGGAGCTAATTTGCTATGCCTGGCACCATGCACCGTGCACAGGGTTGCAACCTTGTGGCGCTGCACTCCAGGAGCCTCCTGGCTCAGGCTTGGAGACAACATGGGTGGCTAGGCCAGGCTGATGGTTAAAGGCAGGCCCACAGGCAGCGCTAAATTGCCCCATGCTTGGTGCAGGGTATGTATGCATTGGCTACGTCGTGTTTTTCTGTGTAAAATAACACTGGGCATCTGACCATCGCCACTGTCCACCAATGCAGGCTGGGTCAGTTCTGGTCAAAAAACCCAAAGGGCCGGCGGTGACTCCAGGTATGACCTGCACAACGCAAGTGCTTCATCCTGCTGGCCCGCAGCGCTGCAGGCTGCTGGGGTGGGAGTGGGGCATTTCTTCCTTCTCCCCTCCCCTCTGCCTGTAATCAGTGTATTTTGTCAGCCTCCGTTGAATACACATACTTCTCCCTTGGCTGTTCCCCAAACTCAAACGAGTGCACTAATTTCCTCAACCAAGGGCTTGTCTAAACAACGGTGTTTTGGCTGCTTTAACGAGTGTTGTTCAAGTGCTAAATCCCCCTAAGCCTTGTGGAGTTACATTAGTACATTGTCATTCGGGATGCAATATCTGCTTTAAAGCACCTCTCTAGGGCAGTGTACCAGCATCCAGGGTAGTGTGGAATCAAAAAGCAGTAGGTTAAGCTTGCAATGGTTGTGGGACGTGTAACCTGTTTTAAAAAGCAAACCTGTCCGTGATGGTTTTATAGAAACTTACTTGGGGGGGAAAAAGCTGGTGGTAGGACAGTTGACGTCCAGACATACGTCAAGCTACTTAATTTTTTCCTGATAGATTTCTTGTCCTAGAGGGCTGAAAGTGGTCAGGATGTTTGATGATGTCTTGCTGATGTAGAGTGACTTTGCCCTTTTCCTGGCCCATGTCCTTGTCCGAGGCCTGCAGTGTTGTAAAGGTTACTCCTGTGCAGGATGGTTATTGCAAACTACATTTACCTGCTAAGATATTAAAGGGCTTGTCTACGCCACAGAGCACCTCTACTGGAGTAATGATGTTGGCAAAGCCTGCGAGTGCTATAGCAACCATTCCCTCAGCCCACTTCACACAGCCTCTGTGCCTGAGGAAGCTGTGGCAAAGCAAGGCGTCGGTAACTATGTCCGCAGCAGGGGTTCTGCAAACACAGGTGTCTCCGTCATGCGGTGTTGTGTTCCCTCACACACCTTTGCTGAGCCTGTGCTCTTAGGAGTAGCTTGGGGAGCTGCCCCCTCCAGCCGCAGGGTGTATGTTACCCTCTGCTGTGCTGGCAAAATTGTGGGGTCTGCACAAGATTATTTATTCCTTCCCTCTCTTATTCATTATTTGCTTCGGATCACCGCCCTCCTTACAACTGTCCACAGACCCATCTCCTTGGAAACAGCAGAACTTGTTTATGTGGCAGTAATGAGGAAGCTAACTGATGCGTAGCAGCTGCAGGCGTGCGAGGGAGCCATGTCCCACCAGAGGACATCGGAAAAGCGAGTCTCCGCTTATGGTGACTGATGAAAGGTTAGATGGCATGAGCAAAAACCACCTTCCTCCTCTGGAGTTTCCAAAGTTGCCTGCCCCTCTTCACAGCAGCGGTAGGAAGCTTGTTGCGTGCGCATGTGTGTGTGTTTATGGACTTTGTTAGTCTTTTTTATCACTAACGTGTAGAGGTTGAGAAGCAATGGAAAAATTGGTAAGTCTTGCTTATTTCTTATTTTGTGGAGTACTGTGCTGGTGCACTGTGCCACGCCAGGCCCATCTCCTCTCCTGTCTCAGCCGTGACCCTGCCTATGGCCACAGGACTCTCTCATCCATATATTGAGACTTCTGCTGCTCCCTGCTGCGTGCCCTTCACTGCCACTGCCCCTTGTGCTGTTGGAAACAGCCGATACGCCTGTCTGGGCCTAGCCGGCTGTTGGAGTTGGTCGGGTGTCCCTGCACGGTGTTTCCTGGTCCTCCAGGGTGGAGCTGTGGAGGCCCATAAGCGGCTTGTCTGGCCGTAAATGTGGCAGGGTCACCAGGTGGGACCTGTCGGCAGAGATGGCGGCGTGCCTGGCTGCCTGCAGCTGCCGACCCCGTGCCCAGAGCTTGTGGCCGGGTCTCGGGCAGGATGGCGGCGGGGCCCCACGGGGAACTCTCCGGAAAAGGCCTGTGGTGCAAGGGGAGCCTGTGCAGCCCCACTCTTGCTGGTCTGGGGGGCCGTGCCTGTGCCAGGAGGGCCATGCCGGTGCCAGGGGGGCCACCCTGAACTGTGGGATCTGCCCCGGGGGTGTTGGCACACAAAAGCAGCTGTGTCTGGGAAGCCCCAGGTCAAGCAAGCCCCGGCAAAGAGATGCTCGTGTTGACGTCTCAGTGATGACCGCTTGGAGGAGGAAGGAAGTATCTCCGTGTACCTTTGGTTCAGTGTGGATCCTGAAGAGGCGGTGTGGATGGATGATGATTTTTCTATTTTATACGGCCTCTGAAACAGTGCTGGAAGAGCTGTTCCTGGAAACTTTTTCCATTATTGAAAACTTTCTTCCCCACCCACCCGGTATGAATGGTTTTTACTGGGGTGTGCTTCATCAGCAGATCTTGGTTTCGGTTTCTTCCTCCTGTTACTAGATACATCCTTTGGGTGACTTTCTTGGGAGCTAATGTCTGTAAATAGCCTTGCCCAAATGGGAAGCCTGTTCCAGTTGCATGCCCTGTATTTTAAACTCGAGTGACACCATAAGTGTTACATTATTGAACCTCCAAATAAGCTGTTTTTCTATCAGCTGAAGCTGTACATGCTCTTTATTTCTTACACTGTATCAAGTGAAATGCTTGGTACTACTTTGCTGGCTAGCTGTGGTTTGATTTAAAACTTCCTTTAACTTCCTAGAGGTTGTATTAGACTAAAGCGCTTTCTGCAAGTTTCATTGTCCACGTCTTGAGCATCAATCACTATTTGACAGGGTGTAAAATGTCTTCAGATGTGCTTCTGATAAAATAAAGAATGTGAAAGGGTGGGGCAGAAAGAGGGTGGAGAGACAGGACTTACTACATACACTTATTAAGGAGGAGAATGCTGGGGATATTGCATGTTGAATACCCTTCTGTCATCTCAACACTAAATGTGGAGAACTATGTCTTTATTATGTAATAAAGCCATATGTAAAAAGATAGGCTTTAGAGCACTAAGGAGGCTGCAAATGAAAACAGGCTGTAAAACTTGGAATGCTTGCTCTGCAGGGAGCACTGAGAAGAAGACACTGAAGTCTGTAAAATAGATAATAGAAAATTATGTTAATCCTTGGCTTTTAACAGGACAAACATCAGCATAAGTTATTAGAAAGCACCAAGAAAAATCTTAGAAAATTTTGTGTGGTCGAGGAGAGCTACGTTTAGTGTTACGAAAGGCATTGTTTTAGAATTGCATTAAAATACAGGATTCATCTGGGGCTGTGGGGGGGTTTTTTTAATGATTATTTTGGTGCACATGATCTGGTTTGATATAAACAGAGCCAGCGAAAGCCCAGTGACATACTTTGAAAAGTTACATAGTCTGTTAAAGAGCTAATGGCATTAAATAGCTCTCTTTTTACAGGCTATGGATTCTGAATCAAAGAACAGTTTCATAGGAAGCTTTCTTCAGCCACCAGATAAGATGCTTCCTGCAGCCTTTGCTTATATAGAATCAAAGAAGTTGGCAGCTGTTTGTCGTGACAGGCCTTCTATCCCCAATAACCAAGGTAAAGCCAAAATATGTCCTTAAAGTGGTCTTTTTAATTGTTCCATGTGAAATGTCTTGAGCAAACTCCCTGTTCTGCTTTGCTCAGTTCAATGACTTGCTGCGATTATCAGACAGACATTGAGACAGGATGTATAATGTGTCCTGAGGGAGTAGTCTCCCTGAAGTCATACATCTGGAATAGAAACTGCTACAAGTCTTCTAACATCCTTATAAACTTTGGCTTTGAAAATTGTTTAACTTTAAATCATCAGACTTCCTCTAAAAGCAAAGGGTAATGCTTCATACTCAGCAGAAGCAGTTCATGACTTTAAATACAGCAAAAAAAGATCATTAGTATGGTACATTGACTTGAAATTGGCTTTGCGTAGTGCTATTTGACTCCCTCTACCTTAAAATCACTTCTAAGGTTTTTTGTGTGGTATGATTCCTTGGGAGAACTTTTGAATAACACAGACTTTCAGGAAAGTTAGCAGCATGAAAGTTAGTCTGTATGAAATATGGGTCCACTATGACTGCCCTGTGCCTTAATTGATGATTACTCCCTGAAGCTCACAGGACAAATGCTTGGTAGCTTAGCATATCTGGACAGCTCAGTGAAGCACAAGGATACCATACTTGGGTTTACTATCACGGACAGCTTTGCAATATTGCACAGTCATAGCCTATGTGTGTGTGTGTGTGTGACCATTGTTCTTTCATTTGAAGAATCTGTAACCTCTGTAGTAATCTTTTGTCATAGAGAGTTTAGGCTTTTTGGATTAAAATGTTCAGTTTAATGTTATGGAGCTATGTGTTTAAGTAAAGAAATGTTTGGCATGTCCATAGAAAGATGGAAGAAGTGGTCCCACTTCATCTTTCTGCTCTCTGGTATCTGCTTTTTGCTTTTCTTTTTTTTTTTAGTTTTATTCTAATGGGGCTATGATAAGCTGATGAGAGTTGTTACAGAGCTAGCAATATTTGCTGGGTATTCCTCTACTGAGAGAATTGGTATAGGGAAACTGTCAAGGCTTATAAAATGTCAGAAGCGAAGCTTGACTTGTTACAGAACATCTTAAACTTCCATGGTTGTGTCTAGTTTTTGGAGAGCTAGTAGACTTTTCCTTGTAGCTAACTTTTATTTTTGGCATAATTTTGACACATACTGATTTGAGGCTAAAAGCAAAATCTTGCAGACTTGTTTCTATGGTTTCAAGAAGCATCAAATACAAGAAACAAGACACTGGAATCATTACCTTTTGAAAAAATAGAAGTTTTTAAAATGCATCCTCTACTAAAATGACCCTTTGTATATTTTTTCCCCCCTGTCCTGAGACCGTTTGGTTTGTTTTTTTTTTTTTTCCAATCTGTCCACACTGGTTGCATTACACCAAAACTTGTGACCCAGCTTGGATACCTGTGTTACCTGCTTCTGTGTAAACAGAAGTCCCAGAGTTTGTTATACTCAATTTGCCACAATTTCTTTGTGCTTGCTACCATTTGGAGTGAAAATAGTTTTATTCATAGGACCCGTGCTTTATGCCTCAGTTATGCAGTGAACATATCCATTTTCTCCCAGATACGTTCTGCATGTGTTAGTGTACTGCTAGGGAATACAATTTATTTTAGGAGTGACCCTAGGAAGAAAATTTAGGTAGTATTTTGCTGTTTGAAGTGTTTGTTAATAATAATAATAATGATGATGATGATGATGATGATGATGATAAATAGGAACTGTTACTTAAGGCGTAAGTGTTGCATTGTTTGCTAGCTGTGGTGGCAGCCCTGAAAACTCTTCAAGAAAAGATCCGCCGTCTAGAGTTGGAGAAGTCACAGGCTGAAGATAATCTGTGCAGCCTCTCCATAGCAGCTGCTCAGTATAAGAAGGCCTTAGAGCATGAATCCTACAAAAAGGGCACAGCACATCAAGAACTGATGCAACAGAGGAAAGGTATTTCTCTTGAGTGGTAAGGTGTAGCCACAGCAACTCCAAGACTGCATAATGCAGGGAGTGTTTGTTTGTTTTGACAAACTACTAATTAATGCGCCCCCCTTTCTTTTTTGCTTCAGAATTGGGGAGGGGCAGGAGCTTGATAATTGTGGATCAAGTTGAGATTTTTTTTTTTTTACATATGTTAACCAAGTATTGCATAACCCATAAAGCTATTTTAAAGAATAAGCAGATTTCAGGTGGTATGTTTAACTCCTACAATAAGCAAGCAGCTGCTTACATGTGTAACACTACTAACTTGAGAAGAGTGAGGAGAAGGGAAGAAAACAGATTCTGGTTAGATATCTGCTGATATAAATCAAAGTAACTGCAGTACTCACACCTTTGGAATTCAAATTAGGGACTAGCTCTGGAAAAACATTTTGATTCTCATGTCTTATATATAAAATATATTTTGACCACATGACTTGTTCAGACTAACAAAACTTTTCTTGCATGTTTTGTAGACAGAGAATTCCTCAATGAGATGACAGGCTGGCTAAATGCATAACTCCCATTGCTGTACTGAATGTCTTTGTTTCTCTCTGTAGATATAAGTGTGCAGTTAAATGCAGCACAATCCCGCTGCTCCCTGCTGGAGAAACAGCTGGATTACATGAGGGAAATGGTTTCCAGTGCAGAACTGGAAAAGAAAATGGTTTTAGAACAACAGGTGAAGCTCTTTAGCATACTAACAAAGTAGTGATATAGTTAAAAAGTATAGAAATGTGTAAGATCTGAACTTTTTTGTGGCCATTTTTCCTCAGCTCTGCTCAGGGTGGTAGCAAACAGAAGCAATTTACTGTCTGACTGGCTGATGACAACCGTTAAATGTATTGTATGAAAAGACTCCCTAGGTGGAACTCCTAATGAGCAAAACCATGCTAATACTTGCACATTTGCTAGACAAAAAGGCTGCTGGAAACTTAAGTCTTCTTTGTCTGCCTGGTATTTTTCATCACTTTGCAATTTAAAAAATATGAAATTTAAACTAGTTAAACACCTTTACTGTAGGGTGTTTGTTTTTTTGCTGTCTGAAACAATTTCAGTCAGCTGCCAACTCCATTCTTGCTTACTTTTTTCCAGGCCCAGCTTAAGAAGGAGGAAGATCAGAACCGGTTGGAACTGCATGCAAAACTTGAAAAGCTTGAAATGCTAGAAAAAGAGTGTCTTAAACTTACTGCTACGCAGAGAATTGCAGAAGTAAGCATGCATGGAATGACAGTCTGAAAGTCATTCATTTGATATAATTCTTATGGCATACTGTTAATAGTACTAAGTTTTGCAAAGTACTAAGTTTTCTCTGTTAAAGTTAAGATCACAAAGCATACCTGACTGAATACTACCTTGGCTTCATTTGCATGAGGTTTTTCAGACTGGGCTTTAAAAATTCCTACAGCCCTGTTTTATCCCAGATTACAATTGCAAGCTACTTCGGACTTCTGATTCAGCATGGCAAACTGAAGTGTGACTAATCATTCTTGCCTTCAAATTCAGGACAAGATCAAACACTTAGAAGAAAAGCTGTGTAAAGAAGAGCATCAGCGTAAGCTAACACAAGACAAAACTGCTCAGGTAGACTGAAAAAGTTTTATTTTATCTTATTTTTTATGACTGAAGAAAGCGATTCTCTCTGTCCAAAATACCCTTTCTTTTATTACGTTTAAACTCCACATGTTTATTACCCAGGGAGAACTCCTGGAATACTACCTAGACCAGTTATAAACTTACATAGTAGAAAGCTTGCCAGGTGTGTTGTATATCTCAATCAAGGAAGATTCTACTTGGTTTTGTATTAATGATACAGTTCATCAGCCTCAAAGCTGCTTTAAGTGATCTGGGTGGAAAATTAATTTCTAGAGAATCTGCAACTAAATCAGATAACTTTAACTTACCGTAACTAGAAAGTGGTCATATAAGAAACCTTATACCCCAAGTAAGGTTGGTTATTCTGTTCATTTTCCTCTTTTTGTTAAGATCTGCTGAAATCTAATACGTTGGACTGTACTTGGAAAAGTCTTTAATCAGTGATACTGTTAAATCATTCATTAAGTGAGAGCTTGAATCATTCATTATTCTGTGAAACCATAATCAGTTTGTTGGGCCACCATCCATCTGAGACAGGAATATTTGCCAAAGAGAGCAAAATCAAAGAAACCTTTTGTTAAAGGGGCAAAGTAGCTTCAGATATTCCAAACCTCACTTCACTGAGAAGTAGCAGCCATTTTGAAAGAGAGCAGTTGTGGTGGCATTCCCTTGGGGTGGGGTGGGGGGATGCAGAGCTGAAGAATAATATTGAAAGAACTTAGCCATAAGCAAAGCTGACAGCTTGCTTTAATTCATCACTGCTGTCAGTTTTTATACCTCATCCAAGGATGATGGGCTTTCATCAGTCCAGGAAGCTTGAAATAACATGCAGATTGTAGCCCAGGTATCTGACCACCTCCAGAATCAGAATCTGGCAGAATGACACAGTTGAAAACTTGCAGGTTTTTGGGTTTCTTGCTTAAACCGCTTGCTGCTCCAGAGCAGAAGGCCTAGTGTGGAGATTTTATCTTCTGAGAAACATAGTAAGAATGACTTTCCCAGAGCAGATAGTCTGACTTCAGCAGTAGTATAAACATTTGCTCAAGAAAGGACTTAGATGTGGTAAATTGAGTCCTAAACTAGTATTAGTACCATCTTAGTTCACTGCAGGATCGATGTAGGTCTGTTGGATCTGGGTTGGGAAACACAGGGTGCGGGGTGGTTCACTTCCTTTTGATGACAGAAAAACCAGAATAATCTCACTTTTGTGATGAACCTCCAGCATTGTTTAGCCAGAACTGTTACACATGCCAAAACAAAGTCCTTGTCCTATGTTTAATTGGGAATGGCTATTATCCTGTTTATCATGGGCCTTTATACCAACTTTGAGCTACAGAGCAATCTGAGGATTGTCCAGCAGGTTTGACTCAATGTTACACAGATGGGCTCAGTTCTCTCTGCCCCCAGACGGTAAAATCCAAATGTTCATATTCTTTGGATTTTATGATCAGATCCCCAGCATGCAGCAGGATTGGCTTATCTCAGTTGCTGGCTGTCAGAGTGGAAAAATACAGCTGCTCCAGCTGAATATGAAGATGAAGACTTCTAAGACAGAGCTGCAAGATCTGCTTGATACCCTGCCATCCTAGTAATCTGTTCAGTTTTTAAGTGTAGCTTATGCCATCCAAGCAGGACAGTTAATAGTGCCCTTAATTTGTTCTCATCCATGCATAAAAGAGGGAATTAATTAGACCATGTGATTTCATCCTTCTAGTATTATATTAAATGGTTGTTTTCTTTTTTGCTTATTCCTACAGCTTCAAAGAGGATTTGAGATAAACAGAATTTTGATGTCTTCAGCAACATCTCCAAATGAACCTAAAAAGGAAAATGGGAAGAAGAAAAAACCTAAGAAGGTAACATGAAAGTTTTTATTGGCATACTGTTTCTGATAGCATCTGACTCACACAGAGATAGGAATTTGTGAAAAACAGTGATGTAAGAGGCACTTGAATTGTCTGCCGTACTTTACTTCATTTCCAAAGTGAAGAACAGTGCTGAATATTTCTTTTTTTTTAGCACCTCTGTGGAAAACTTTCCCTTACCAGCATGACAATAACTTCTGTCACAGTCTTACTGCCATCCCCCATGTCCTGTCTTAGCCACCTTTCAGTTTATCTGGCAAAATTAGTTTCCAAAGCAATTTTAACTAGGCATCTTAAAATGGTGTCTTTTGGGGGGATTGCTGAAATCAAGCAAATTCATTTTGCAACACGTTACAGGTCAGTCAAAATTTTGCAACTGTGGTTTTGCAAACTTAAGTAAGCAATGTTCAATTTCTTTAATGTCAACCTATTTGTCAAACTATCTGCTAAATGCATCTGGAATAAAATTTACTTGTCTCAGCTGTTGGAAAGTCCTACTTCTTCCACGTACAGGAGGGAATTTTTTTTTTTTTTTTAAGCCAGAGGGAAACTGAGATGATGCATTTCACTGCTTGTTTATTTGAATTTTACTTATTAAAAATAAAAAAGTTTAAGATTGTTCTGTTGGGTCAGCAGATTGAAATTTCTTGTCTTACTTTTCCTGTCTATCTTACGGCAGAGAAATCCTACAATGAAGAAAATGCATCTTTCACAATTACATGTAAAGGCTGGTGAACTACCTTTCGTGGCTGGGAAGGTGAGTGAAACCAAATGTTCTCACTAAATTGACATCTACAGTGTGAATAAGTCTCTTTACTGTAATTGTTAATCACTTCTGTATACCACTTAATAATTCTGCTTTAAGTCTGTCGGTTCCAGCCATTCTGTTAGCGCAAACGTACAAAGTGTGTTGCATATTATGAAGCATCGCAATCCACATATCTCATCACGAATCCAAGGAGGAGCTACATCTGGGATTTCAGGACGCAGCGCACTTTCAAAATCTGTATCCTCTTGCTCCACATCACCTGCTGCCTCCAGAAGTCTTTCGGACCTTCTGTTGGCCATACAAGATGAACTGGGCCAAATGAGCTTGTGAGTACTCATCCCTGGTGTTATGAGTAAAAGTGACTTCATTGGTAGCCCTATGAAGCTACAGGTGTGCTATAGTCAAACCTAGCCTGTTTTAAGTGTAGGGCTACTTGTTGACAGAATGGCCTGAGCAGGCCTGACTGGTAGGATTTTTCTCATTCAGAACATTCTTTCTATCCTGATGATAAGATCCTGATCTTGTGAGCAAGCAACATACTTTTCAGCTGGGTTTTTCTTGCTTTCACATCCTGTACTTAACTGAGCTGCTACTGAAGTAACAGCTACAACAAATGAAAAATCTTTCAGGCCTGTGCTTTTTAGAAATTTTAAACATATTCTGAGATCTACAGAGTAGACCAAGAATGTTCTCCTGGAGAAGGCTGCGAAGGTGGTGTTAATGTGGAGTAGGCCTGCAGCATGCAGTCAGTCTGGGTGGTAGAATAGGTTAGTACAGCTGTGGCAGGAATACTCGTGTCACAGCATCTAGCCTATTACTTTGTCTTCACTCTTTCTGTGTTCTCTCCGTACGTGCATAGCTGATAGGTCTTTGTGCTGAGACAGTCTGGCGTTCATACCCTTTCCTTGTTGATAGCAGGAGAACTTGCCAGTCTTGTAAGGGGGTTGTGAAAGAGGGACAGTCTCCTGCCAGAAAATGGGCAGGGTGTGGAAGAAGCTAATGCATTAGATGGGAGTGTGTGTGTATTTCTAGCCATGCAAGTAAATGTGGATTACAACTTGTCGTGTTCTTAGGCATCTTCCCATTAATGCAAGCCTGTAGAATTGCAGGCCAAAGCTACGTAGCCAGTCATAGTAGACACGTCGACATGATGACCTGTGGTTTGAACAGTGGAGGATGTGTTGGTTAAACCAGTTAGGATGTTGACACTGATTTGAAATCCTTGATGTGGCAAAATTTAAACTGGCAACCAGTCTCTTCTTGAAAAAGCAATGTTTGGCTTACTCATGACTATTCAAGGACAGGCTATTTTTTTTTTTTATAGCAACTTCCAGTTGCTTCAATTAAACTGTCAAGGAGCAGCAGTTACTCAGAAGTCAGAAAAGGAGCTGTGACCTTTGTAAAAAGATTATTTATCTAAGAGAGGGTCTCTGGTTTTGACTAGTTCAGATATCTAGGTATCAAGTAGATCTACACAATTTCTTTTAGTTAAGCTGGTTAATTTAACCAGCACACCTCACTGCAAATCTTTTTGAGTGGAATATTTTAATTTGAATTATCTGTCAGAAAAACTGTAACTTAAATGTACTAGTTTAAACAATACTTTTCTGTATTACACTAAGCTTTCAAAGTCTGCACTAAATTGGGCAGGAAGTGAAAATACCATACCGCATAGCTGCTGTTCACTTTCCGCATTCTCATTTTGCACACTATTACACATGTAGTTGTTATGACTGGGGCAAGGGAGAGGAGTAAGATGCACATCAGTTACAAATTTGGAATGAGAAAATCAGACCCACTGGAAAAACTTCGTATCTGCTGTGAATGTATTCCAGATTAATGTGTGTTGTGTGAGGGGATAAATAATGCTAAATTGCTGTACGCTGGACAAAGCAGCTAGCAACTCCTGCAATACACTGGAAGTATTGGAAAAAATCGTAGAGACTATATAATGAATACTTAGTGTGCCATTCGTGTCTTTAATAGTGAGCATCAAGAACTTCTGAAGCAGATACAGGAGACTCAAGACTCCAAAGTTCGTGAAGACCTAGAACGGGAGCTGGATTGCCTTGTAAAACAAATGGAGATTAAAGGAGAACAAATATCCAAGCTGAAAAAGCATCAGGCTACTGTAAGAGTAAGATGTAAACTCTCTAGCTAGTAACACTGTACTTGAAAGGCTGCCACAACTCTGCCTCCTGTTGTCATTCACTAGAATGTCATTGGAATGCTTAAGCCAGGATGTTCCAATATGAGTGATTATAATTAGGCTGCTAGCTCCGTGTTCTTGTACCTCCAATTCCTTCTTTTGATCAAGAAAAAGTGCTTACGGCTGGCAGCTAGGCATGTATGCTAATGGGAAAACTTCCTGCCCTGTGGTAGTTCTGCAGTACAGATCTGGGTTGTTCAGTCTGTCACTTCTGCTCACTGTGTTATGACAAACTGTTGAGATTTCATTCCTTTGCATCCTGTCCCTGTGGGGAATGAGAAAGAAGCTATAATTCCTGTACAGACTGGATTAAATGTCTTTTATATTACTGAAATACTGAAGCTTTTTAGTAACCAAATAGTCTGTTGACCACAGCTTCTCCAAAGTCATAGCCAGACAAGCCTTTCGGTTTTGTTTAACCCCTAACCTGTACACATTCTGTCTTTGTATTTGTTTCAGAGCCATAGATAACAGCTTTTCATACATGCCTATATAAAAGCACTCTTCTGTAGATGAAGAGCTTAACCCTTTTGTAGCAATTTGGTTTGGAACATATGATAAAAAATGCAATCCATAGTTCTGTCTGATAGTTTTCTATTCTTTCTCTTATGTTTCAGGATAAGTAGACTCACCTAAGAACTTTGTTTATATAGGAAACAAACTCAGTGAGAGACCTTATAAAAGGGGGAGGTAGTAGTTAATTTAAATCTGACCAGTTTTATTCATATTCATTCTTGGATGGATTTTACTCACTCAAACCTTTTATTGTCCACGTAATTGAACCACAAAGGTGCTTATGTCAAAGTAGAATTGTCAGAGTTGCATGTTAGCAGTATGGACAAAGGACATGGACTGTTGGGTCCTCACTGCCTCTCTTGGCAACGTCAGCTGTTTTTTGGATACATCTCTTACATTCTTCAGGAGCCAACAATTATGGTGTTATTCCTTGCCTCAGAATCTTGCTGACTTCATCCTCCAGGAACCTTAGACAATGGACAACAACTGTGCCTTTGTTTCTTCCTTTTGCATATCTTTATGGCGAGAAGAGGAATAGCACATACAATGTGCTGCAACCTTGTTGTCATCCCTGCCTATTATCAGGGTGCAGATCTGCTGGCAAGTCATCTGTGCTCTGGGACAGCCCTATCAGAGCGCACGCCTTAGGGTCATGATGTAAATAGCACATTCTTTGTGTTTGTCTGATCACTGGCCACCATGCCCTGGTTATCAATACAGGCCACTCCTGTAACCCTTGGCCTATATAGTTTTTTCTGGTGCTTTTGCATACAGACATGTCTATTTGTATTGCGTACAGACCAATCTTAATATTTCTGATGCATATTTCTGCTTTTAGAACCTGTCACACTAAAAATGCTGTAGTCATCTCGGTGTTTCACAGTTAATAATATGTTCTAGAATGCAATTAAAGTTAATTATTTTTAGAAATGGACTTAAAGCCTAAATTGGCATATGGAATGCTTCCAGCCTAATTTTATCTTTGGGAGTGACCTTTTCATGCCAAGTGCAAGACAAGACTTATTATTTGACATTTAAAAAAACATTCTTTAGCAATCAACCTTATTTATCCTGTTTTCCAGTTTTGTTATGAGGCTTCGAAGTAAACTGCTTAGATACAGTAACCAATAATAAACAGCATACGTTTTATAGGTTTGTTGGTTTTTTTTTTTGTTTCGGGTAGCACAATCCGAAATGGAAAAAGACCATTGTAAATATAAATTGGTAACAGATGATATTCCGTCTCTCTCAAGCAAGCGTTTTTACCTTAGGGAGTGATGGGGTTCAACAACCTATTGAGTGTGGGTGAGGTCAGTTTTCTGTAATGCTTTCTGTGTGGGTGAGGTCAGTTTTCTGTAGTGCTTTCTGTTACAGCAAGACAACTGTATGCAAGAGTAGTAGGTTTTAACTTTTTTTTTTTAATGTCCCTTAGATGTCTTTATTTTGGAGTTTGGTGGAAGTCCAGTAAGCTCTATAGCTGTAGGTCTTCCGAGTATGTAACTTTCTAATTAGTAACCTTTCTTCATAGGTGCAGAAGTTAAAGAGAAAAACTCAGAAACTGAAGCAAGGGGCAGCTCATGTCAAACTAAAGTGTGGCGACCAAAAGGAAGCAAAGGAGTTTGCAGTCACTGTAAGGGAAAATATGTCTAAATCTTGTCCTGGGCAGAAAAGCAGAAGCTCTCTTCAGCTGCTAAAAAATGTGCGGAAACTTCAGTCAACACTGAAAAAAGATGATATCATGTGGGAACAACAGTTCTGAAGTTTACTGTTAGAAGTTTTTGAAGTTGTCTGACAGCTAGTAAATTTTCAATTTCACAGAATACTTTTTAAAAATAAAATAAATACAGCATTTTACATTCTAAACTGTCTGCTCACTACTAGGTCAGTTTGTTCACCTAAGAATTAACTTTCATGTAGGGTAGCTATAATTCAACTATGCTGACCTGTAATAAAGTGATTTCATGGATTAATGAAATACGTACTTGTTAACTTGTCAAATAAAATTTTATACCGTTTTTACACTTAAAATAGTATGTGATCTTTGGTGTCCTGTTCCACCTGCTGCCACAGAGATACTTAGAGCTTGCTTTTCCAGAATTACTTGGGCTAGTGCTTCTGTTCAAATAAAAACAGTGGTTTTCCTTTTCTCTAATAACTGAAGATTAGGATCATTGCAACTGAGGCAGAAGAAGAGGTACTGTCTCTTAAAAATATACTTTTTCATTATTATTATTACTCTAGAAGCTTTATTGACAGTCTTAGTATTAGTGACAGTTAGGGATTGGGAGCACAACCCCTGACTTGGTTAAACCACAACAACATGCGAGTGTTCTTGGTAAGTGCAGGGAAGGGGCCAGTACCAAAATCTTGGATGCTTGTCTTCTCATCAACAGAACCTGCTGCTACCACAGTTTAAAATAATTGAGCTGTTGTAGAGGAGACCTTGAACTGTGTACCAGTACTGTTGTGGAATTTGTGTACTCATACAAATGCAAAATGGGTCTTTATGCTAATGCTGAGTCTCCTCTTTTCCATCCCCCCACTATGTACATATGCTAAAAGATGTAACAGTGACTTTGAATCGACACTGGTTATTTAGTTGTAATAAATTCTTGTCTTGAGGTTACTGATTTTCCTGGGTGCTTGCATATGTCAGAAAAAAATAGCTTCCTCGGGATGTATCAGTGAAGTTCTGCTGTCCATCTCTGGTATAAAGAGAATGTAGTGATCTTCTCAAGCCCCTGTGCAGGTATGAATAAAAATTGGAGGCATGCTCTGTTGTCAAGGATTTTGAATAAAGGCTAGTCCTAATGGAAAGTTGGGTCTTTGGATCAGTAAGTTTTGCTCTGGCACCCTTCAAGAGACAGGATTAGGAAAATTTTCAGGCAATTAATTTAAATTTAGAATAAACTGTTACAATCTTTGACAGGCATTGCATGTGTGAGCTTTTGGAGGTGAGAAGGGGAGTTTATATGTACTAAACATCTTTATCAGGGCTGGAACACCAGGTTGTTCAACTAAGATTCAGGTATGAGTTTCGTACACTCTCTTAAATTGTATAGACATCCTTCTTACTTATGGATTGTCTCTGGCTTAGAAAAGCACGTTGTATGCTTCAAAACACTTAAACACAGTTCTCAACATGGTATTTTCCTGGTATAGATAATGTTTCTGAAGTAGGTTTATGTATTTCCGGACACTGGAATCACTGATACCGGAGACAAAAGAAAAGTAAGCATTTCTGCTATTAACATTTTCAGATTGTAGGTATTCTGCTGCCACGAGATAAGCCTTTGCCATTCCTAGGGGTAATTAAATAATCTCTGAAGCTCTGTACCTGTGTGTGAGAGAGCAAGTGAGAAGGGCCTTACCGAGCCCTATGGAGCCTAAAGCACTATATGTCATCTAGAGGTCCAGCCCTAGACAAAAACCATCAGGCATTGGATTGCGAGAGAAAAATTGCCAGCAATTTGCCCCAAATGCATAAAAACGGGTAGAAAGGCTTTGCACGCTGGCAGCCACAGGAGCGAGAGCAAGAAGCGCTCTGGGCTTGCGGCTGGGGGCTGCGGCCATCGCAGCTCCTATAGCTTGGGGTTGCTATAGGGACAGCTGGGCCTGTCCGGGCAGGGAGCCGGCACATTAATCACCTGCTCCCTTTGTGCCTTGACCGGGTATTTTTGTTGACTATAGAAACCCAGGGAGAGGGGGGCCATTTTGGTGCTGGAGCTGGAGGAGGAGGACCCCAGCTCCTCTCTCGGATGAGGGGCTGTGGCGGAGGACGGCAGCTTTGGGTCGGTCAACCAGGTACAGTGCTTAAACGATGGAAGCACTGGACAGTCAGTCTTCAAAATGTGCGTGCCGACAGGGGCTGTCCAGTCCCAGAACAAAACTGCTCTGCTCGCCTTTCTGTGGGGCGAGCGGCTGGAGGGAAGGGAACTGCTGAAGCCCGTCCTGTCAGCAGCCGGGCGTTTCGCATCTCTGCCTGCTTTGGAGGGCAACATGGAGCTGAAAAAGCTGTCTTGCTGTCCTGCCCCGGAGCTGGGATGGGAGAGGGAAAAACAGGAATGGATGATATGTGAGTTTACATTAGTTGAAAGGGGTATATCACTTGTATTTCAACTCGGAAGATTTCGCTGTATTTTAATAATTCTTTTGTGCTGCTCTTTTTCTGGAGCTTTTATTTCTCTAGCGCATGTGTTTTCACACGCTAAAGCAAAGCAGATGCACTTCAGCATGGACTGAGGGAGTCAAACCAGGCAGAAAGGAAGTGTATCCCAAACAAGTTTTCTTGCTTGAAAAAACACAGAAAATTTGTTTTCAGATTGTGTCTCAGTGTGGGGTTAGGATAGGAGATCAGCTTGTGTATTTATTAGCATATCCAAAATTTGAGGCAATTGCCAATCACATAAATCTTCAAAGGAAGATACAGCGATGAATAATTCTGCAGAAACTGCAGTGGTGAAGTTAGCCTTGTGCACAAGTGTTGGCGAGGTTCAGCTCTGTGAGAATTAGGCAGGCAGTTTGCAGTGAGTTTTGCTGGGATCTGAATGCTTCACGTCTTACGCTCCAAAAAAGTTCTGGCCTGGAACTCCATAAACATACATTTGGAGAAAGCACAGTGGTCAGAGCAGTCATCTTCACAAGAACAATATGTTTTGGCTTAATAAGTGCTTGCTCTACTCTTTTACAGATCCTTGTTTTGATTTATATCTTGCATGGTTTTGTTTGTCTTCTCAGATGGAACTGTATATTTCTTTTTTTTTTTCCGGAATGTTTTGAATCCAGCTATAAAGGGCAGCAGACAAAACCACGCAATGATCCCAAAAAAGACTAATTGGTTTATTTACTCAAAATCTGGGTTCTTTTACGCTGAGTTATGCAAAATTGCCACAACAGGTTTTGTTAGTATTTGAATCTAGGGTCATATTTTATGGCTAGTCATTAAGGAAATTGGACAAGAGATGTAGGTCAAACAGTATAATTAAAAATACAGACCAGCAAATTGTATCCAACAATAGTTCACTTTGCTGCTGCTAATGAAATATGCTAGCACAAATTAATGGCTTGTTACTTAAGCCTGCTGGAAAGACTTTGTCCCAGTACAAAAGGCATTCAGTTTGAGCATGTGTGTTACAATCTTCTAACCAGCAAAGCTGGAGGTTGGACATAGCTATAAATCCAGTATGTTCTGGGAATAGAGGCTGGCAAAAACACTCCTGGCAAAATAATCAGGGCAGGATCTCGCTGGGATTTGGATACTGGCTAACATAACTAAGTGCAGATGTTTATGTGGACCGAAAGACATTCCCAGAATAAGAATAATGTACAAACACACGATGATTTTTATAGCAGAAAAAAACAAGGAAGTGGGGATAATAAAACTTATGCTCTTATTTCTGATGAAGCATTTTCTGTTTTCCTCGGCTTGCCTGTACTGAAGTGGGCAAGGCTGCCTCTACTGTATCCCCTGCTGGGGCCTGCTGAAGCTTCTGCAGGTTGCTTGGGTTGCAGCTCTGGTGCTCACCCAAAGGTCTCCACGGGCTCCCCATTGTAGGTCCCGTAGTCCCTCTTCTGTCAGAGGAGAAGCAAGCGTTTCTGACAGTGTGATGTATCACACCCTAAGGTAACAGCTCAAAATAGGTCAGATGAATATTATCCCAAATGCCTGGTTCTCTCTACCGACTACAAAGGGAGTCGGGGGTGATGGGTGAGCTTAAATGAAGATATTTGAAGATATGAAGATGCAAAGAGTTTGGCCAGATAAATTCTGATGAAATGTGGAGCTCTTTCCTCTGATTTCTGAGGATCCTGGATTAGTTCTTCAAAATCTTCAGAAGCACTGGGTAAGTCCTGGGCTGCTGACAGCCTGGGAAACCTGGGCATTGCCCTGCATACAACCATTTTTCCTCCTGTTTTCATGTCAGCCTTTCATGCTTTGGCCTAAATGTGAGGGCCTGTCCTGAGAAGATGCTTACCGTAACTTCCCCATGATGAGCAGTCTCACTGATCCAAAACTTGGAAATCAGGGGCTCAGTGCTCTGTAGTTCAGGAAGACACAGACTACTATAGGATTTTATTTTGCTGGTACTTAAGATGACTTCTTTTTGCAGTCTGAATTCATTTATGGACAGCTTTACTATTTTGCCAAAAGTTTTGCTTTATACCCAGAAATGGTAATTTATATTCCCATCTGATTTACAGCCATATCTGAATGATTTTTATCTGAACTCCACTGTGTGCACAATGGCATAATTTCTTTTCTCTTGGTTCCTTCTTACTTATATAGCTGAAGAACTGCCTACTCTTTATTTCCTCAGCAATTTTTAATTTAGCTGGTATTTCTTGCTGTAGTTCTGGGCTTCCCAGCCCTCTGATTTTTTGATATTTTTTCCTTTTTTTTTTTTTTTTACCTGTTCTGATTCTCTGCCTACTCTTGATGATTTTTTGGTCAGCTCCACCATCCTTGCTTCCAAACTATTCCCTCTGCTTTTATTTTGAGTGCAAGTTTCAGTTAGTTTTTTACTATTGATTCAAAGATTCTCCAGCTTCTCCAGTGTTAAAATCTTTTGAGGTATTAGTTGCATGAGTTTTCTAATTACTTTTATTAATTTGTGTAATTTAGCCCTTTGGGACTTTAACACTTTACACACACGTCTGATTTTATTCTTCCATTCTAACCCAGATTATGATCACTTCTCTAATGTTCTTATCACTTTCCAAAACTGTCTGAAATACCATCTAGGTTCAGTGAGTAATTGA